CTTTTATCAGAAAATCACACCTTGGCTGAAATAGACCCTCTGGGTGAACAATTCACATTATTGGATGCGCTGGATTCACCGCCGCCGTCCCATAGGACCCATGCCTGGGTCCTATGGGACGGCGGCAATCCTAAACGCATATGTACATATACATATGCGTTTAGGAATCCTTGGCGTGCAGGCCTGCACGCCAGTCTACACTCTGTAGATTGGCGTGCGGGCCTGCACGCCAATTTTCTTTGGCGTGCAGGTGTGCACGCCAATCCGCACCTGGCGTGCGGTTTGGCGTGCGCCAGGGGGGCTGGCGTGCGCTTATCAAGCCCCAAAAAGGTGTGGCTGTGGAGATTTCTTGAGGATGGTATGTCTAATGTTTCTTATGGTTATTAGTCTAAATAAACTTGTCACAAATCAAGGTATCCCAAATGTTGATGGGCAAATACCTGGCTAATAGTGGGTGATCAGTTATCTGAATTTCTGGGGCAGGATCTGATGAGGAACAAATCAGGAGGGGAAAACAAGACTCCTTATATACAAAATCAGGGGAGTGGCCAATTTGTGGTTGGAAGATGAATGGAACAAAATGGAACAAATAATGAACAAGGAAGAAAATTGTACTATGAACAATTTGGCCTAATTTAGTGTGGAACTAAGATAAGATAAGACTAGACTGAAACCAAAGAAAGAGCCAAGCTAAGACAAGGTAATAAATTCATTCTGAAACAGAGAGAGGATTGGATAGTCTTATCAAGGGGAAGAGGTGGGGGAAATTATTCACCCAGATAAGGATTGAACAGGAAATGGGGAAGAAAGTACCAAAAGAGGACTAGTATCAAACATAACTATTGTGTGAGAATTCTTGGCATAACATGGAAGGAGATAAGAGATAAGGAATATTTTTAGAGGGGTTTGAGGTTATATTGAGAAGGGTTACTAGTGTGTAGCTGGTGTGTGAGCTAAGTCTTATCAATCTTGAACTAGGAATTTGGCCATGGGTTTCATTTGAGGAGTTTCAGAGGTGTGGAAGATGTTATTATCCATGAGGGGGGCAATTGTGTGGATAACTGGGTTGTTGGATTTGTTTGAGGGCCTGGGGAATTCCTGAGGGGTCTTGATTCTGTGATTCCTGTGTGATATGTAGTCTTGTTGTGCTCTGAGATTCAGGATTGGCTTACCACAACGCATTTGACATTTCCCAACAACTGCCTTTCACAGCGCAGAATGGTTTCAATGAGGAAACCGCAAGCCTGTGACTTATCCGCCATGATCTTTGCTTCACTGAATCTTGTTGCTAAATCTTGGATGGTCAGTAGATATTTGCCTTTGTTGAAAGTCTCAACTTCAAAAGGTCCCACTATATCAGCAGTAACTATTTCTAGTTTAGCAACTGGTCTGTCCAAGCTTGTTAGCCTATTCCTATTTAGACTCTTACTTCTTGCCCAGATATCACACTTTAGTTCGCCTTTTGGAAGTGAGGTTGGTAAGTTGTTGCATAACTTCTCCTGGATCACCTGTCTTATTTTCTGTAGGCTGGCATGTCCAAAAGGTTGATGCCAATAAAGAAGAATCTGTTCATTTTTATCTAAGCTGTGATTGTGAATGGTAGGCTCAGGTTTTTCAGTATCAATTGGGGTCTTGAAAGCATTTCTGCAAAGGTCAACTCTCAGTTCTGTTGATATGGGGCAAAAGGTGGGGTCATGTTTTGGGATAGAATTGCAAACAGGAGCAGAGGTAGGAAAACAATTGGAGTGACTTGGGGCATCCAAGACTGCTTTAGAAGGAAAAGGACAGGGAAAAATCCATTTGTTCTTTTGAGGGATGAAAGGACACTTGAAGCAAAGAATATGGTTGCTTGAGTAGATCATATAACAGTCCTGTTTGATGTCATATGCAAAATAGGCATTAGCTTTCCGCAGAGCAGCTAGTGAGATCAAAGTAGAGCAAGCAAGCTCACAATACAAAACACCATGTATGGTGACCTGTTGATTGTCCAGACCTGAGAAGGTGAGGTCCCCTTCGCCGGTGATACAAGCCGGATTTCCAGATGTGGCAACTTTTAAAGGGATAGGGAAACAAAAATGACGGAAATTAGAGAGAAGCTTGAGGTCACTACAAAGATGGTGGGACGCACCTGAATCCACAATAGGCGCATTGTCCGGTGCATCGACCTGCACATGATCAAAATGGATGTTGGCTAGGCCTTCAGCCACATCACCAATTTTGACCATTCGTGCATAGGACTCATTGGTAGAGTCAGATCCTGCTGTGTCCTTGTTGGCAGACGGCTTTGGACGTTGGGACACAATGGCTTTTGACAGGTACTGAGGGAAGACTAATTTGTGTCTTGAGATGTGTGATATGTAGTATGTTGTAGCTATGTAGTACTATATATTATGTAGCCAAAATATGTGTAAAAATACTATTTTTTAACCTTCTGAACTGGATACAAGATAATGAATTATGTAGCACAAGTATATCAGGCTGTAACATCATAAAAACTACTATGTATAACTATTTTGTACTATGTATGACCTTGATTGGTCTCACCACACCGTGTGCTTGTTGTTGATGGGACTGGGTCTGCGGGTAGACAGCCGAGAACCCAGGCAGCGTGATGATTGGGTAGAACAACTGGAACACCGCATCTGATCTCATGGGGCCAGGTGCTGGTTGCTGTGTCTGACCTCGGAACCTGCCACGGTTGGCTTGTGGGTGTGAGCGGAGTGGGCAGTTGCGCAGGAGTTGATCCAGTGATCTGCATTGCCAGCATAACCCCGCTTGCATCGCCATGAAGTCATGTGTGTTCGGTATGTTGTCTGGATGGTCCGGGCAGAGTGGGACTTCAGGTGCTCTGGTCTGATTTTGAAGAGCCGATAGTTCCGGTTCAGCTTGCATTGCTAGAGGACTTGAGCAGGTAGTCGGAAAACTTTGTTGACAGCAGATGATATCAACAAGCCTGATCATCTCTTCAAAATTCATGGCCGGTCTCTCTGCCATCGATGTCTGGAAGTCAATTTCCACTTGGCAATTGAATTTGTCCTGTAGAGCGGGTTCAGCTTGGAGACCGTTCTGTAGGACAAGTCCAGCCCAGTGATCACGGGGGAACGGGATCCCGGCCGATGTCATCTCATCAAGCAGGTCCCAAATGTGAGAGGCCATTTGAGCCGCCGACGGGTGATCGGCCACGTTGAATGAGATTGCCTGTTGGTACAGACTAATTTGCACCACATGACTGACCAATCTGAAGCGTAGGTTGAGGTTGTTGAACATGTCATGGGCCCTAGTGAGTCGAGATATCCCCCTTTGGAGGGACCGATCAACCAAGTTGATGATGAGCACTCTCCCGACACGTTCATGGAGGATTTTGCGTGCCGGCCAATTGTAAAACATCACTGTGCCGGTCGCCCCTCTCATGTGTTCTTCCAAGAATTCCTCCCACGCTGCAAAATTCAAACCATCGGCCTTGAGCAAATCCTCGTCACTGATGTGGTTGTTCACCAACAATATCATGCTGGCTGTAAGTCAATCAAATTCCACTTGCTGCACTCGGGCCACCCTGTCTTCAGCCAACTGAATCCTGCGGTGTTTGCGGGTGTCCGCAGTCCGGCTGCTCTGCTTGTTTGCCGGCATATGTGGAGGATTATCCCGCGCTGACCCATTGGCGGGAGTTCGAGCCGGCTGCGTGCTTGGCTCTTGCGCTCTGGAGGGAACCTTGGCCGGCGTGTGATGATTCCGGGTTGCTTGTATACCAGGTAGTTCTTCACGCAAAGGGTTCTCAACGGATGTGCGGGGGGTCTGGTTCACGGTGGTGTTGGGGGTGGATGTCGAGGGCAGGCAGTCTTACGGGGTGTTTGACACGATGCTCGGGTTGTCCATTTTTGATGGTGTCGATACCGGGGAATTCAGGGATTGAGGATGGGATAAGGAAGATAAATGGTCTTAACGTAAAGTATAAGAAAGAAGGTGTAGGGAAAAAGTAAGAGAAAAAAAAAACAATGAGTGAGATAGGAGATAGATAGGTTTGTGGAGAGGGTGATGGAGAGAAGGAAATAGAGACAGACAGAAAAAAAAAACGGTGGAGGGAGGTGGGGATAGATGAGAGAATGTGGAGGGAATATTGGGGAAGAAGCTGGTGGTAAAATTGGGATGGTGGGTTGAGTGAAAAAAAATTGAGCCAAGGTATTGTGCTCTGGTCATTTAAGCAAAGACCTTTGACTGTCGAACCAGATGCGTTTTGGCCCCTCAGTGGAGGACTTCCCGTCAAGTCTGGGGGCCGTCCAGT